ACCATATCACTTTAATTTCTTTGGAAATACTTTACTTGCAGATGTTCTATTAAAATATTACATCACATACTAAACGTAATACCCCAGATGTATTATGACCTCTAAAATCATTTTTCTTTTCTCAATCTATACAATAGTTTTAATGGCCATGAAATATTTATATTAATCTCTGGTCAATTAAAACTTCCTGACTTTTTTTCACCTAAAGTTCTCAGAAGCACAGTATCTCTCACTCTATACTTTACTTTTCTTTTAAATAAAAATTGCTTATTTTTATTCAAATGCAAAACTGTAATCTTCCTTAGATATAATTGTTAGTTGCAGTCTTTTGGAATGTTGAGTTCTCCGAGAGTTCTCAGGAATCTTGAGTGTATTATCAATTATGTGTATTATCAATTATATATATTACCTTTCTCTCCTAGTTTTGTGTGATTAGCAGATTTGGCAAACAATCTTGCTTACTATGTTTTTGATACAGTGTTAAAGTAGAAGATCCCTTAAGGTCTAACTTACTAGAAATATTTGGAAACAATTGTTCATCTATTTTTAAAATTCTCCTATGTGCATTTTCATTTCATATACACTGATCCGGGGATAATTCACAGCAATATCTTGAGATATTTAATTAAAAATTTTGATGAAAGTGATACACAATAATATGTATAACCCTCCTGATTTAGCACAACCTATGTATCCCTAAACCCTTAAAAGATAAAAAAGACACCACAGAGTGTTTTGATTTAGGTGCTTGGACTGATGAATTACCCACTGAATGATTCTGCAGAGCCAGTGGTGCTACAGCAAATTTTTGACGTCTTGCAGACCATTAAAAGAGCCATTGCTAAGTAGAATCAACTTAACAAATTTTCACAGATATTTGTGTGAAATTTTAGAAGTTTTCAAAGTAAGTCTTTAGTTTTACATAGAAAAATATGATTTAAACAATAATAAACATATTTTTAGACCAGGAGATTCTTCGTTCTATTGACATCATCTAATCCCACATTTAGTGTAGAGTTTACATAAAAGAAAAGGGGGAGGGGGAGTTCCTTCCCAGAAAGTAGCAGTCCGGTAATGATAGATTAGTTCAGGCTATTTAGAAAAACAAGCCTCAAAAGTTCCTAAGTTATAATGGATCTGATCATTGCTTAGCGTTCAGTTTAAAATTGAACTCAGCTGCCTAGCACCCACCACGCAACAAGAACGGCATCCTTACTGAAATGAGTCACCTCCACTACACAAAACAAATGCCCTAAAGAGCTGCCACTCTGCGCCGGGAGAAGTTGGCCTGGGGGAGTGGGGTTCGGCACTGGGACATGAGATACAGAAGCAGCAGCTAGAAGAACAGTGAGCTGCACACAGGTGATAGCCACTGGGTTGGTGCCAGTCCTTTGGGCCATCATCTTGCCCCTCTCCAGAACCCTCTGCAGACGGCGGTGGGAAGAGCCATTGCAGGACCACAGATTTAGAAGTCTGTTATGTGACCCTGGCTCCAGACTCTGAAGCCTAAGCCAAACTCCCAGAGTAAAACTTCCACAAACAGAGCTTTTTGTCTCCTTTCGATCCCTGCTGTCTCCATAGCTGACCTCAGGGCCTGGCACAGAGGATGTGCCAATAAGTGTTTATTAAATGCATCAGGTGTACATCTTCATGGTGATTTAACAAGTGAATAATCCTATTCCATATTTACAAGCTTCCTTATCATTTTCTACAATAATATTATTAAATTAGAGGCTGACATTTATTGAGTGCTATGTGCCAAATACTGTTCCAAGCACTTGGCATGAATTAACTCATTTGTTTAAGCTCTTTATGTGTGGGTTCTTAGCTCTCCTCCTTGCCTAGTTTCTCACCTAACTTCACTCTCAGATGTTGCTGTGCTGACCACAAAATGTCCTCCACACAAAAGGATTCAATTTGCCCAACTTCACTTCTAGGGCCTTACCCAGCTACCCCAAAATCTGGCAGAGCAGAGAGCTGTAGCTCTAGCAGCTGTCTGCCTTTATTGTATCAATATTGAGTCATAACGATTCCCAAAAGGATCAAAAGGAAGATCAACCAGAACAGATTTTGTTTGTAAGTACGTTGTTTATACATTTCAGCTTTTGAGTATATGGAATGGCGATCTGAAAGAATCACACTGGCTACCAAGTAGACTCTAGACTTTTAATGATTTGTGCAAGGCATCTCATGATCTGGTCTCTCTGCCTTCTAATCAGTGTCGTTTTCTGGCACTTCCCCCTCCTGAAAACAACATGCTGTTTTGTGTTCCCATGTTCCTTTAGCCATTATACTGCTAATTGCACCCTACATTGGAGTCCTTGATATTTCCCCAGACCTTAGCATGGTAATGCGTGTTTGGTGCTCATAAACCTTCATTAGACAAACAAGGGAATGGATAAAGAAGATTCATGCCCGGCTGGTGCTGCTCAGTGGCTGAGCATCTACCCTTGAACCAAGAGGTACCCGGTTCAATTCCTGATTCCCAGTCAGGGCACATGCTGCACTGTGGGCTCAATCTATCCCTCACTCTTCCTCTCTCTCTAAAAAAAAAAAAATCAATAAAATATATTTTTTTAAAAAGAAAGATGATTCATTGCAGAATAATGACGAAAGTTCTCCTTGACTCTTGTTAGCAGATACAGTGTAATAAAAAGAAACAAGGAACCTCCTTTAGCCCCAACATTGTTTTGTGTTGTTTTGTTTTTCATAAGAATTCTCCCAAGGTAGCTTTCAATTCCATCTCCCTGACACTCAGCTCTCTAAAGGCTAGGTCAGTTAAAATCTTCAACATAGAACAGGTTTAGAAAGAGAAGGAGTAATAGCAACTGTGTTTCCAAGAACCCTTTGCGAATACCTGCTCCTCTTCCTGCCCCAGCCCAAGTGCGGCCTGCTCTGGGCTTCTGGAGCAATCCTCCATACGCTCTGCTCCTACAGTCCTTAGCCATATGCCTGCCACAGCAAGAGTGGTAAAGGGAAGATTCCTCTTAAGCATTTGAGACATTATTGTGACATATTTGCAGATACAAGAAATCTCGGCAAGGAACTTTAGTAAACATTGTGAAACATCTGAAATATTTTTAGCTTAATAACTTACATAAGCCTGGATCAACATTAAATGTAGACTCTTAAAGGTCAAACTAGTCTTCCTCATGGGAAATACATGGATAATATCTGTTCGGCAAATTTCAATAACCAGATGTTAGTATGTCAAGTTTTTCCAGACTCTTCCTTTCCTTCCTCTATCCTACCTTTTCTTTCTCCACACCAACAAACAGACTGACTTTCACAGCACAGCTCTGACCATGTCACTCCCTGACATCAAAGCTTTTAATAGAATATTGTTGTTATGAAATAATGTACAAGCAAATTCATGCGGTACTCAAAGGTCTCCAAAGTTCAGGTCAACTTCTCTTCCGCTTATATTCCACCATTCATTTACACGCACTTGATTTTTCTAGAAAATTATTCCCCCTGGCTATCCTAATTTTGTCTTTATTCTTTGCCTAGAATGGCTGTTCTCTGAAATGCCTCATCATTCAGTAGTGTTCTTTAGTGTATGTGTTACGCTAGCATATTGAACAGTCCTATGTGCATGCATGAATGTGTATACATGTGTTTAATGTTGATAAACTTAGCTTTTTGCAGGCATGGTTTCTTATTTATGGCCTCCACAGTTCAGAGCATTGCAAATAGTAAGTAATAAATGCACACTGAGGAAAAGGGAAAATGACTACTAGTCCTGCTAGAACCACCACTCTGATTAGACATGAAGATTTTTCAGTCTCACCGTTATCATCCAAACATCAGATGTCTTTCCACCTGTTGCTTGTTATCAACCAGTCCGATTGCAGAAACCTGCAGGACAAAAGAATCCCCACTCTCTTGGAGAGTGCTGCCCTCTTCTGACATTGCCATCTGCCTGCACTGTTCTTTTACATGGATAGTCAAACCCTCAGAAAGGGAAACATTATTATCACATATTTTCATAATTATATCAATGTGGAACTATTACAAACTATGGCAACAGTTTTAAAACACAGACTCGGGTAATTCACGTTCTGCTCCAGAAACATCCAAATCACAGCAATTTTAGAAACGGCCCATAGAATGGAGTAGAGATTCCACCGTGGCAGTCATTTGCTCCCTAAAGTCACAGGGATACATTTGCATATTTGAAAGTCAGGCTTATTCTTAGAAACTAACAAAGGTGTATTCATGAAAATGAGGGAGTACATTCCACTCTCTTGACTCCCCAGAGAGGCTTAGGTTTTGTACTTTCACTTCTACAGCACAATTCATTACTTTAAAATACATTTCCTGACTTTTCCTCTTAAATAGTGTTGGCAGGACAACCTTCTACTTTGCATGTGGCTTGTGAGATGGGAACAGAATGGATCTTTTCATGAAGATAGTGTGTGTGTGTGTCCTATATGTAAGAGTAATTGGGTTTGGGTTGGAAAACTCTTTAAAGGGGCCTTTTAGATAAGCAAATGCAAAGTCAATTCTATTTCAAAAAATAATATTATATAATGAGGTACTAAATGCTTTGCATAATATCTCTTGAGTTTATATCATTGGTTCTCAACCTTCTGGCCCTTCAAATACAGTTCCTCATGTTGTGACCCAACCATAAAATTATTTTCGTTGCTACTTCATAACTGTAATGTTGCTACTGTTATGAATTGTAATGTAAATATCTGATATGCAGGATGGTCTTAGGTGACCCCTGTGAAAGGGTCATTCGACTGCCAAAGGGGTCATGACCCACAGGTTTAGAACCACTGGTTTATATGAATAGGGAGGTTCTAATGGAAAGGAATGAAACCAAGTGGCAAGTCTAGGCCTTCGGGCAGTGAAGGCAGATGCTGGGCGGAGGGGTACCGTACAGGGATTCCAGAAACGATTATGTCCACTCTCTGGTAAAGGGCGGATTTTCATGCATGTCTTCTTGAGTCTACATGGTAACCTTTCCTGTTCTCAGGCCTTTAAGAAAAGCTTTGTAAAGCAGTAAACTTTAAGGAATTATTGGATGGATGTGTCCTCACACTTAGGAGAGCTCCAATATCCTGGAGGAGTAATACTAACTGGGCAAACAGTGATCTATATAAAAGCCCAGAGAAGCAGCCTGAATTGAAGATGCCAGGTGATATACAGGAAGCATTCGTGGAACAAGAAAATGGTCCTGAAAGTCACCAAGAAATGTCTGGGTAAGGAAACTTGGTAAAAGACACAGTTCCCTGGAAATCAACCAAAGAAGGAAAATGTAAATTATTGATATTAGGTTGTGTGTGTGTGTTCTCTGAATTTAATTATTTAATTATTTTATTTTTTAAACTTATCTTTATTATTGAAAGTTTTAAAGAGAGAAGTGACAAAGAAGGCTGTAGAATTTAGAGACATTAAGTTCTTGAGTCAGATATTAGCAACATGATTCACAGTGTCAGAATTAATGCTCAGTAAATACTTTATCGGTAATGTTTATCTTCAGGAGTTTCTCATTATTCAGAGAAATTCAGTTTGGCTTCCAGATCCAAACCATAAACATTAATGCTGTATTCGGTATATTTTTTTCTCTCCTGTTCAACAAAAGCAGCAGTTCAAAGGGAAACATACATGATCAGTCAATAACCCCAAATCTGATCTCTAAACATCTCTAATGATGCCTTTGCTTCTTACACTGGAAGAGAAAGATCGTTTGAATAACTGTAAAAGGCACCTTGTAGAAATAGAAATAGAAGTAGTCAAATAGAAAAAGTCAAAAATAGAAATTGTACAAAAATGTAGACTATAATGAATTCTGCAGAAAATATATACAGATCATAATTAAAACTTTAAAATTGGGTCATAGATAAATAGAAATCATTTTTAATAATAGAAAGCATCTATGTTTTCTTTTTATATTTAAGCAATTAAATACTTTATATTTTTACTAACTTTAGTGAGGAAAAGTAACTGACATTTTTCTAAAATCTTAAGGTTAGTTATTTTAAAAGTAATATTATATTTTGAGGAACACATTTTTACCTGCCACTCATCTAGAAGAAAAAAAATACAGTGTTATATACTTCATCTTTGATCTTTTAGCTTGATGTTATTCAATTGTTGCTTTTTTACAACAATTGAATAACATCAATATGTAATCTTGGGGGGAAATCAATGTAATAATGGCATCCTGTCCGTTCCTCACTGGCATCTTTATCAAATCTGGTCCTCCATGGCACACACACAAAATTCTTCTTTTCATTTTCACATTGAGAAGACCCCTCTATGTCAAACACCTGACTGTCTTTCTGAATTTTATTGCCTGTGTAGTAGGCATGTATTATGCAACTGTCCCTCCTTCTTATCATGTAATAGAATTCCTCTTTCATTTGGGGAACTCATTCTATGTGGGCATGTGAGTCTTGTAACTCCCCATGAAACACAGAGAAAGAAATATGACCCAGGCCTGGCCAAATTTCCCTCATGTTTTTTGATGTTGTGACTGGTTTAGGAATAAGTACAAGACTCAAGCCAGACCAAGAAGAACCTTCCCTTGAATATTTTTTCTGAGCTCTCAGAAAAGATCTACCCTGTAGGAGTTGATAGACTGGTGGGATGAGAAGTGGGGCTGTGGCGAGCCATCCGACCTATCATGGAGCTTAAGCTTGTTGAGGAGATGAAAAAAAGACAAAGTACTAATATCCTCATTTAAGCCCCTGGGTGTAGCTATGATTAGAAGAATGCTTTCAGACTTATTGGTACATGAATCAATATATTACCTTTCGTGAGACAGCTACTTTGATTTGGGTTTCTGTTGTTTACACTGGAAAGACTCCTAACTAATAAACTGATCTATGCCCCATCCATACGCCAGGATGCCCTACTGTTTTATTTTAATATCCCCATACCTGCAAGACTTGTTTACCTAGATTACCTGCTTGTAGACTTTTGTCTTATGCTGTGTTGACTTTGCTGGATGTACACCTGGTACCTGCTTGATTTCATGGGCTGGGCTGCTCCAGAGCCCGTCCCCTGTCCCACAGTAGGTGATGGTAGATCATGAACAGCTCCAGCCATGTCTGAAGAGAGAACAGTATTCCTCACGGAAAAAAAATAACAGAAGCAAAACTCACTGAATTTCTGTTGACTCCTAGATAAATAAAGTTTTATTTTGTCACAGTCTAAACAAGTTACCAGGACATCTTAAGTTTCATTTTTCTTTTGCCTGTTATACCTTTAATATTTCTAATTTATTGTTTATTCTAAAAAAAATACCTTTTTACCAAACAAGTCAGATTATTTAATCTTATGATGCCCATTTATTTATTCATTCAATAATATTTATTGAAAATTAATCTAAGACAATTATTATTCTAGGCACCAGAGACATCAAAGAACAGGGCAAGCTTTTTGCCCTCATGGAGTTTAGAATCTAGGGAGAGGAGGTAGCTAATAACAAAATAAACAAAAAAATATAAAGAAAGAATGACATGTTGAAGCGGGGAGTAATAGGGATACTTGTGAGGTGTGATGTTTCTTAAAACAGGGTCAGTGAGGCTTTTCTGATGGAAGACACATGAGTGTAGCAACCTGGAAAAAGTGATGAAGGGACCCATCAAACTCTCAGGGGAAGAGCATTCCATTTGAAAGGAACTCTATGTGCAAAACTCCCGAAGCTGCTTTTTCTCTGAAAAGCAACAAACCTGATGCCCTTGAAGCAGAATAAACAATGAGGGGAAAGTAGAAAAAGACAAGCTTAAAAGGTGGGAAGAAGGGGGAGGCTTTGTAGCCACAACAAGGACATTGGTTGTTAACTGAGTGCGTTGGGAGCTCATTGGATGGCATTGGTCAGAAGCGCAATAGGACCTGAGCTTACATTTTTTCCAAAGGTCATTCTAGCTGCTGTGTAGTAAATAGACTGAATACTGAAGCAAGCGCAAAAGTAGAAAGGCTAGCTAATAGTTTCATGCAAACAAGGTTATAATGGCTTGGACAGTAGTGATCACGGTAGAGTTGATGAGAAGTAGGGGAATTCCAGGTATATTTTGGACATAGTTAATACATTGAATCTAGTGGAAGAGAAAGTGAATGGTAATTTTTTTTCCCCCTGAGCAATGGAATAATAAAATTGTCATTTACTGAGATGGGGTGGCCTGCAAGAGGAGCAAGTTGGGGCAGGAATATAGGAAATTACTATTTGGATTGGACCTATTACACTTGAAATGTCTATTAGACATTCAAGTGGAATTGTCAAGTAGACAGTTCAGTAAATAAGTCTGGAGTTCAGCAGAGACCACTGGGTTAGAGGTATAAATTTGAAACTTACAACATGTTGAAAGCCAGGAGCCTGGCTGAGATCACCTAGGGAGTGATGAGAGATGTCTGAGTACTGAGTCATGGAGCCTCTCAATTTAGAGTTAGGAGAGAGGAGAAGGAACCAGTAAAGGAGATTGTGAGAAAATAGCTAATAAAGAAGGAGAGTACTGAGAGGGTGCAGAGAGAGAGCAAGATTCCAGAATCCAAGTAAAGAAAGTAAGAATGAGGAAATGTTCAACACTTTTCAATATTTGATGAGAACAGAGAATTGACCATTATACTTGGCAATGAACTGGTCACTGGAGACCTTGACCGAAGCTGTTTCAGTGAATTAAAAACCTGATTGGCGCAGGTTCAGGACAAGATTAGAAGAGAGGCATAGAGATAGCAAACAAAGACTTTTTTTTAAAAATGTCTTACTGGAAAGGGGGTTGGGAAATGGGACAGCAGGAAGAGAGGCACAGTTTAGAGATATTATATCATATCGGTATGATGTTGGGAAAGATCAGGTAAAAGGTGGGAAATGATGATGCCATAAAGAGAAGACAATAGTTGAATTAATGACAAAAAAAAAAAAGGTTGGGGTCTGCCGGAGTCCAACCCCAGCAGGTCCAGGGGTCCCCAAAGGTGTGGATGGAGTCGGCGAAGAAGGAAGGACACGGAGACAGTGTTCAGTTGATCAGCAGCCTAGCCAGGATCTCCAGCCAGGATCTCCAGCCAAGTTCTGGTCTGGATCTCCAGCGAAGTTCTGCCGTTTATTGTCTTGTTACATCCGTATTTATACCAGTTGATTTTAATCCTGTCAATTTCTATTACAAAGGTTAGGGCGTTTCTTATCTCCATTCCAGGGAGTAAAGATTATGTAGCTTAAGCATGATTGTAGTTAAAGTGATTAACTACCCCCGCCTGGCACTTAGTTAAGGAGTTTCATCCCCTCCCTGACTTCAGGGAAAAATTCCTACCTGGGGAAACAACCTTTCTAGGAGAGGCATCCCCTCCCTGACTTCAGGGAAAAATTCCTACCTGGGGAAACAACCTTTCTTGGAGAGGTGACCTTGGTTAAAACACACAGCGCTAAGGGGAGCAAACATATTAAGAACAGTATGCTATATACGCCAGGTCCCTTGAAACATATGCTGTGCAGATGTTTCTTTCCTGCAGCGACTGTGTCAAGCAGCAAGGATGGACCGGCTTCCGGCAGGGGTCCAGTGTTCTAAATGAAGCAATTGACTTTAGATAAGATAGTTGATATGTCATTGGGAGTGATGGGGGAAAGGCATATTTAGGAGTGGGTATCTAGGGATAATGCTGGGAGCATGTGGAATTTTCTCATCTTGTTTCTTCTATTTTCTATGAAGGAAGAAAGGCCAGCCATTGAGATCTGAAAGGAAGAAGGAGGTACTTGTAGTTGAAGGAGACAAATGAAGGTATAAAATAGCCATCTACGACAGTGGAAAAGTAAGTGTATGTATTAAGGAAACATGTGGAGATGCTGGCACGATTGAGGGCCCATTTGAGAATTAACTCAGAATAGTGGAAGGAAAGGGATAAGAGCTTGCAAGATAATAGTTAATTCACTATCTTCCAGCCCAGTCATGTTGCCCACACTGCTCCATCTTTAAAGGTCCCCAGAGTTTCAGAATGAATGCAGAAAAGAAGGAATCACATAGGCTCCTTAACCTTGGTTTGAAAGTATATGGGCCGGGGGCAGCATGGCCCAGACCAGAAAACACAACAGGGCATAAGGTCAAAATGGAGAAAGAGTTAAATCCAGATAAGTAGCCTATAAGTAATGGGTGATGGGAGGATGTAAAAGACAGAGCAATGACCTTAGATAAATGAAAATGAAACAGAAAGTCTGGTTAGAAACTAGGAGTGGACCTTGGGAAAAGTACAACTGGGCATAGGGAACCAAATCAAAGAGAGTAAGATAGGAGATGACTGAAATCTTGGGGTGCAAAGCTAGTTATATCTGGTCCAGGTATCCAGAGATTAATTAGGAAGGAGTGTACTTCTCTACATTGACAATATTCCCTCTCAGAAGCTACACTATTCTGTATCTTAAAGGATACGCCTGACTCAGGATAGAGCAATTATCCCAAGTGATTTCTCCATCAGTAGATTCTGTTTGATGGACATCAAAGACTTCTTAGATTGCCTCCTCTGATTCCCGCATCGCAGGTTCCACAGTTAAAACACCATGTACATGGTCTGGAGCCAAAACACTGAGTTCCCTTTGGAGACTCAGGCTTTGAATGGAAAATGCACATCTCTAGGGCTTAAATTCACTTCACTGAGCAATGATTGCTCATTTAAATGCAAGAAGATTAATCTTTATGACTTCCAAAGGATGAATTACGAGAGCGTAGAAAATGAATGAGCTTAACAGTGAAAAGGAACTTGAATTTATTCTGGTTTCAGTTTCCTTTAGTTAATTTTTCACAGGTCTTGGTTTCTTCATCTATATAAATGAGGTAATAATATTTATCTAGGAAATTATTTTAAAGATTAGACCAGGTGATATATGAAAGCACCTGTTGCAATGCCTAAAACATAGTAAGTCCTCAAGAAATGTTTTCTTTATCTTTGCTTTCCTCTTCCCTTTTCTTTTTGCTAATTCTGGTAGGAGCATAAATAGAATATTGGGGACTAGCTACAATTATAAGAAATATGAATCATGCTCTATTAACCATGATTGTTCTGTTCTTTTTAGAGAAAGCACATTCTAACCTGGCTGAGAGTTGTACACCTTGGGACATGGGAGCTAACATCGAATGTAGTCCATCCTCCATTTCTGAGAACTGCCTTAGATTAACAACTTTTTTGCCGAAACAATCTGATTCCAGAGGCGTCCAGAGGTACCAGGAGGCACCCACCCTCTATGACCAACCCCCAGCCCACATTGCCTATAACCTGTAACCATTATACCTTGCCTGCTTTCCCTTTATATCTTGCCTGCTTTCCCGGGCCTGTAATTCTTACTTTTCCATGTAATCTTTGTCCTTCTACCCAATATGAGTATTTGACTTATGGGGAGGGTAGAGCAGATTTTTGTGGATGACCTGCTGGTCTCCCATACTGCTGGCATTATTGGAATAAACACTCATATATTGTTCTATCCTGTCGATGCTTAATTGGCTCAAGTAGTGACAGGCAGCATGGGCCCATTGGTTGTCCTGTTACAACTCCTCAAAAGATCCCTTCCCCATTCCCTCCTTTTCATCCTTTCCTTTTTCAGGCACTAAATCTCATCACTAAGAGGTGTTTACTGGGAACGTTTTATTTAAATATATTATTATTTTCTGTCTTACCATCAGTCAGTAGACAGTGTAATAAGGTCTAATTTCATGTACTTACAGGAAACATAAGTCTTCTGTTTGTTACAGAATCCCATTGTTTTAATTCTGTTTTGAATTTCTTAATTACATTGATTTTATCATATCTTTACCCCTGAAATTTAGTATGACCTCCCAGAAAGTTCCACTTCGCCCTCTTTTTATAAATGTTATTTGGGGTACAATAAAGTAAGAATGCATTTTCTACACTCTATCAGGCACTTTCTTTTAAAGTGACAGAAGCATTTTAGGGAGGTATGGTTATTTTACTTTTGTACATTGCTTTATAAATATTAGATCTTAGGTATCTCAAATATCTGATGTCTGGGAAAAAAAATAGCTGCCTTTAAGTAACTACCGTGACAGTCTATTATCTGTTCTTTCTGTCTACATGATACATGCTATTTTTGCTTGGACAAAATATTATTGAACTCTTAACAGCCACATCAGCTTTCTCATCTTCCTGGCCTTCCATCATCTCAGAAACATCACAAGGTTGTGAAATTATCTCTTGCAGCAGGATGATTAATGGTCTTTGTTGTTGATTCCGGTCTAAATTGGCAAATTCTCTTTGTTGAAAGTCTCCCAATAGCTTGTACTTAGCTTGATTCAAATAACTATATTCAAGGTTATGAACTACCTCAGGTTTAATGAAGTATTTTATAATGTCCTTATCTGCGATGAAGGCAGTTTAGTTCTCTTCATTACAAAATGTGAAACAAAATATTCTAGTGATCATACCTTCTTTCAACAAGGAAGACACAAAGCTTTGCACTTTCACAGGCATTCCTGAAGATTGTTGCATTGCTATTTTACAGAAGAGTAAAAAAGTAAATTATATATAAAATGTAAAATTTAATTTAAATAACATTTTATTAAGACAATTATTTTAAATGATTTTTCTACCAAGAGTTGGTTTCTACAGCCATATTGCCAAGGCATGGTAATATTGAGGACATAAGAAAATAAATATGAGGGTGCAGGGGAGAAATGGGCAATTGTTGCTCAATGAGTATAATGTTTCAGTTATGCAAGATGAACAAATTTTAGAAATCTGTCTGCTGTGCAACATTGTGACTATAGTTAACAATATGGTGTTGTGCATTTTAAAATATGTTGAGGATGAATCTCATGTTAATTGTTCTTGCCACAAAACACACACACACACACATACAACAACAACAGCAACAAAAGCAAGGACATTTTTGAAGGTGATAATTATGTTTGGTGGTGTTAGCACAGGTGTATGCATAACTCCAAACCCATCAAATTACATAAATTCAAAATGTGTAAATTTTTATATACTAATATTTTAAATAGAAAATAGACATTAAAATGTAAAAGATCTATTTTATGAGAAACCATCAATTATTCAAATACATTAGGAAGTAACACAGAGGAAATAAAATACAACATCAAGTAATGATAAATGAGCTTTTATAATCTACACTAATAAAAGACAAACATGCAAATTGACCATACCTTCGCTACACCGTAAGCCATGCCCACCAGCCAATCAGAGCCACTATACGCAAATTAACCCAACCAAGATGGTGGCCGGCAGCCATGGAGCTGGAGCAAGCAGGGGCTTGGTTGCCCCAATGATGGAGGAAGCCAAGCTTCACGCCTGCCATGGCTGGCTCTGAGCTCCACTCATAGCAATAAAGTTTCAATTATAGAAGGTAAATAAACCCCAGATACCTGCTTTTAGTAGGGCTGTAGCCACAGAGCTAGAGCGAGAAGGAGGCTTGGTTTGCCCCTGGCGATGGAGGAAGCCAAGCTTTCCTCCCACCTGCCCCGGCCAGCTCTGAGCCCCTCTCAAGGCTACAAAGTTTCAATTATAGAAGGTAAATAAATCCCAGAATTAAAAAAAAAAAAAGGAGAGGCTGGGAGCTTCCATTGCTAGGGGGCTTGGCCAGCCTGAAAACAGCCCTCAGCCCCTTACCCAGACTGGCCGGGCACCCCAGTGGGGACCCCCCGACCCTAAAGGGGGTGTGGCCAGCCTGAAAACAGCCATCAGCCCCTCACCCAGGCTTGCCAAACCTCTATGGGGTGAGGGTCCCCAATGGGGGGGGGGGCTTGACCAGCCTGCAAACAGCCATCAGCCCCTCACCCAGGCTGTCCAGATACCCCAGTGGGGACCCCCCACCCTGAAGAGGGCTTGACCAGCATGCAAACACCCATCATCCCCTCACCCAGGCTGGCCAGGCACTCCAATGGGACCCACACCCTGATCAGGAACACCCTTCAGGGCAAACCAGCTGGCTCCCACCCATGCACCAGGCTTCTATCCTATATAATAAAAGGGTAATATGCAAACCGACCCTAACAGCAGAACGACTGGGAATGACTGGTCACTATGACACACACTGACCACCAGGGGGCAGACGCTCAATGCAGGAGCTGCCCCTGGTGGTCAGTGCGCTCCCACAGGGGGAGCTCTGCTCAGCCACAAGCCAGGCTGATGGCTGCTAGCACAGCGGTGGTGGTGGGAGACTCTCCCGCCTCCTCAGCAGCGCTAAGGATGTCCGACTGCAGTTTAGGCCTGCTCCCTGCTGACAAGTGGACATCCCCCGAGGGCTGCCGGGCTGCCAAAGGGATGTCTGACTGCCGGCTTGGGCCCAATCCACCAGGGAACGGGCCCAAGCCAGGAAGTGGACATCCTCTGAGGGGTCCCAGACTGCAAGAGGACATAGGCTGGGCTGAGGGAGCTCCCCCCGCCCCCCCCCCCCCCGAGTGCACAAATTTTTGTGCAGCGGGCCTCTAGTATATGGAGGAAAAGAAATTAAACTTTTATTTAGGGAATACTCTTTTAAGACCAAATCAGAATTAGCACAGGAGAAGATGAGGTCCAAAACTACATATTTTCAAAATAAGAGGTTTGAGTTTACAATCACTGTAATCTTCCTAGAGATCTCTATTCAAGGGACTTTGTTGTTGAAGGGAAGAAAAATAAGGTGATTGAAAGAAGCATGAAATAAAATACCAGAAGAAAATTTCTCCTACTTGCTTTTGTGACAAAGATGGGAATGGTTTGTAAGCTAGTAATGGTTTGTCATTCCAAGAGAACAGACCTGCCCATTCAGGCAAACTGCCCTCCTATAGAAGAAGCCATATATCTGGCTTTAGATTTTGATTGTGCACAAGAAACAATACCTTGTCTACAGTGCAGTCTTCAATGCCAGCATTTCAGAAACTCATCCTTAATTCTCTGACCTGAAATTTAAATTAGTCAGTCATTTTTTGAATGATTAAAATATGTTTAAATATATTAAAATATGTTTTCTACAAAAATAGTTTTTCCATTGGAAAATGACCAAATTAAAAAAATAAATTGTATCTTACCTGCTAAGAAACATCACCATTATGCCCAGAAAAACAGTAAGATCGTATATGCCATGTTGCTTCTAATTTAAATCAGCAACATTCAAAGCTGTCAGTTTATGCCATTTTTTTCTATCTTTAAACATACTGTTCAAAATAACTTTGAACAAAAAAGAATAGTTGTAGGATTTTATAAAAGGTTTGACATTCAATTCCCTGAGAAGGCAAGCCTTTCCCAAAAGCCAAAGTTATTAAATTTGATGGAAGCACATAAAATATTCATTTTTGATGCCAGCATAGTGTGAACTTGTTTATCCAGTCAGTCCATCAGGGAATTAAAATGGATGAGAAGCCTGGTGGGGGCGATGGACTAACATCAGGAAGCCTGTCAGAGTTAATTCCCTGGAAGTCAGTGGAGGGAGCTTGGCAAGAGGATTCCTTCCACCCATGTGTTCTTCAGTGCCCAGTCTCCTCGGCTCTGCAATAGTGCTCTCAGACACGGAAGGGAGTTGACCATCGCATTTTGTGGTCCATTTACTTTGGAAAAATCAGTGATTTATTCAGATCTTGGTATGTGACCTTAAAATATCTGTAGGTCATAATAACACTTGGCCTCTTTTGCGTGTTCTCTGAAACCCAGGATGTAAAACTTAATTCATTTTGGAACCTTCCCCAACATAACCTTATTTAAAAGTTCCGTGATTGCTTCGTTATGATTACATAGCTGGGATAAGCTTAATTTTTTCAGCAAAACTTTGCAAATAAATGCATTGTCAGCAGGTGTCCTGGGGTCTGGAATTGCTTGGGCAATTAGCCATTTCTTTATACAAGTTTTTTTTTTTTTGCCTTTAAATATATTCTAATGATACTATTATTTAGTCCAAATTACTTTGAATTCCAAGAGACTTTAAAGTTCATTATTGATTGTAAATTGCCTTTTATATTTATAGTAGTGTTTGGTAAGATAGCTTCAGTTAGATTCTGCCATTATAAAATCCAACCACCTAATGAAGTGCACATGATTCTTCTCAGGCAAAGAAACGATAGATTTTTGTCCTCGCTGGATAGCTCATTTGGTTAGAGCATCCCAATACGCCAAGGTGCCAGGTTTGATCCCTGATCAGGGCACATACAAGAATCAACCAATAAATGCATAGATAAATGGAACAATAGATCAATGTTTCTCTCTTACTTGCTCCCTATATCTCTTTAAAATTAATCAATAAATACAAATAAATTTTAAAAAAACATAATTTTTGCTCCCTGTCCCTAGTACCTCATTATTACTTTTCATATTATTCTTAAACATATTTGACTAAGTATTGCCATTTTTTTATA